GTTTAGGGTTTGGGGTGTAAGGACCAGGTCCACCACACGTAAAACAAAAGGCATAAAAGCCTAAACCCATGCAGGCCTGTCGCCTGGACTACTTGCTCGCTGCCGGGGGACTTCCAGATACCCTTTAAGGAATAGCTTGAGCATCCGTATCCTACCGCGTTTAAACGGAGACCCCAAAAAGACGCACCCCTAAACCCTAAACCACGCATTCGGAAGCAAAAATCTGTCATTTTCGAGTTCGGAGGCTCGCAGAGCCCAGACTCACAAACGAAAAGCTGCCGGTTTTACGTTCCGGGGGTGGTTTAGGGTTTAGGGTTAGGGCTGTAGAGACTATAGACGACAAGGAGGCATTGCAAAAGCGTTTTTTGGGGGGAGGGGCGGGAGTTTCTAAGCTTTGGCTCCCAAGAAGCCCAAAACAAGCTCTACTCACACGCAACTGCCGGTTCAGGGAATATGTTTCATGCTTTCACCTATAGTGGTTAAGCGGACTGTTGACCTCCAACACTCGAAGCTGCGGGCTTTCAGGGAACCAATCTTGCTGCATAATACCTGATACAATGATACCCTGACTCCCAGGTACCTACTATGTGAGGTACTTTAGAGCCCCTAAGGCCCTATGTAGTTACCTGAGGGGTTAGGGATGACGCAGAGGAACTGTTAAAACCTCCACATCGCCTCCGCGCTGACCGCATGCAGCCGCCGGCGCCTGCTCTGGAAGAACACCTCGACAAAAACAGAACAGAGCTGTTCCTGAGGTCGTGGCTTTCGGCCATCGGGTTGGTAGCCGCAGAATCGCACAGGAAGCAACATTAACAGCAGCAATGGAAGTTCTTGTATTGCGCCACTGCATCGCAAAACCTGTCACACCTTTATTCCGGCTAAAACCATGAACCTCACCAACTCCAAACCATCTTCCTGCACCTAAATACACGCTGAAGACTTAAAACCAAGCCACAGAACCTGCACCCCCGAGCTGAACATCCCAAAACCACCCTCAACGCTATAGGCCCTCAGCACCCGAACATCGAAGGTGTGCAGCCAAGGCTCAAATGGCTTGCATAGAGACTCGCCGTCTCTTGTCCATGGCATCGGGCTTAGGGTTGAGGGTTTAGGG